CATACCCTTAACATACATACATACATACCTCTAGTTTCTAGGTATGTATGTTCCCCCAGACATACATACATACCTGTAATTTTCTAGGTATGTCTGTTTCCCCAGACATACATACATACCTTTAACATACATACATACCTCTAATTTTCTAGGTATGTATGTTTCCCCAGACATACATTCATACCAATAACAGACATACATACCTGTCATTTTCTAGCGATCTATGTTTCCCCACACATACAAACATGACGTCATACACACGTTTAAATACCCATGCGTCATACACACGCAGACATACATACCTGTCATTTTTTCTAGCGATGTATGTGTCCCCACACATACAAACATGACGTCATACACATGTCTAATAGCCATGCGTCATACACACGTGTAATTTTCTCGGTGTATCTGTTTCGTCACGAACATGCAGCAGCGGTGAGAGGTGTCACTCATAAATCGCGGGAGGGGGTGCGGAGCGCGCCCCTTCGCACGTCGACGACTGTGCAACCTATGTCTCATACATACATACCAATAACAGACATACATACCTGTCATTTCTAGTTTCCCCACACATACATACATGACGTCATACACATGTCCAATACCCATGCGTCACACACACGCAGACATACATACCTGTCATTTTCTAGTTTCCCCACACATACAGACTTTACGTCATACACACGTCTACTACCCATGCGTCATACACACGTCTGCTTTTCTAGGTGTGTGTTGTGTCGTCACGAACATGCAGCAGCGGTGAGGGGTGTCACTCATAAATCGCGGGAGGGGGTGCGGGGGAGGGCGCAGCGCCTCCCCCGCGGGGCGAGCGAAGCGAGCCCCTTCGCACGTCGACGACTGTGCAACGTATGTCTGATAACCTATTACTACCCCTGCCTCGAATGATGCGACGCCTCGGTCTGGGCAGGGCCGGGTATGTTTCGCCAGCCATACATACCATACACACCTATCATTTTCTAGGTATGTATGTTTCCCCAGACATACATACATACCAATAACAGACATACATACTTGTCATTTTCTAGCGATGTCTGTTTCCCCACACATACATGCATTACGTCATACACACGTCTAATACCCATGCGCCAAACACCATGAGACTTACATCCATTCATACAGACATACTTCAATGCCCCCTCCATGGTCACGGGCCCTCACAGACATACACGCACGCATGCATACATACATACGTACATACATACCTGCCTTGGGGGGGGGAGGTCACGGAGAGGAGCATGCTTCATTGTGTGAGACAGTCCACGTTCATGTATACGCACATCCCGAGAATGCCACATATCTCTCTTCCTCCTTATACTGCCTTCAAGGTCAAGGGCATGATTGTTGCAGGGAAAATACATACTTGAAGGTAATCTCTGTTTGGCCGACATACCCATACCTCCTCGGTGTGTGTTTCTGGGAACGGATATAAATTAAACAACTAACGGTCTGTATCTGCATGGGAAACATACATACCGGAATATTGTGGGTAGGTATGTTTCTGCGAACCATACATATTTCAATCTCACGGGTATGTATGTTTCTCAGACCACGTACATACCTCCAAGTCCTAGGTATATATGTTTGTGGGACACAGACATACCTGGATAATAATGAGTATGTATGTTTGTGGGAAACATGCATACCGAGACACTCATGCGTATGTATCTTCCTGGGAAACATACATACCTCAAACTGGGAGCCCTGCGAAACACACAGACCTCGCTTTTTACCTGATGCTATGTCTCCGAGGAACACTCATACCCGTGCTTTTGAGGTCTGTACGTTCGGACAATACATACATACATACATACATACATACATACATACATGCCTCTTCTTTTCAATGTATCTTTCCCCAGACATCCATACATACCATACATACCTCTTATTTTCTAGGTATGTATGTTTCCCCGCCGGACATACATACATACTGTGTATGTACGACTCTTCTATGTATCCGAGAAACGAACATACCCGTGCTTTTGAGGTATGTACGTTTGGACCATGCATACATACATACATACCTCTTCTTTTCTAGGTATGTATGCTTCCCCAAACATACATACATACCATACATACCTCTAATTTTCTAGGTATGTATGTTTCCCCGGACATACATACATACATACATACTGGGTATGTATGACTCTTCTATGTCTCCCAGAAACATACATACCCGTGCTTTTGATGTATGTACGTTTGGACCATGCATACATACAAACATACATACATACCTCTTCTTGTCTAGGTATGTATGTTTCCCCAGACATACATACATACATACATACCAGACATTCCTGTCACTTTCTAGGTATGTATGTTTCCCCGGACATACATACATACTGGGTATGCTTTGAAGGTATGTACCTTTGGACCATGCATACATACATACATACATACATACATACATACATACATACATACATACATACCTCTTCTTGTCTCGGTATGTATGTTTCCCCAAACATACATACATACCATACATACCTCTCATTTTCTAGGTATGTATGTTCCCCAGAAACATACATACCCCTGATTTTGAGGTATGTACCTTTGGACCATACATACATACATACATACCTAGTTGGGGGGGGAGGCAGGGGATGCCTGCTAGATACCTACTAACCTCCGAAAACAAGGTATGTATGTTACCCCCCTGGGGTTCTTACTCTCTTCTTTGCAGGTGAAGGTGTGGACATTCTTTTTGCATGCATATTGTCAATGAGAGGCATTCCATTTCCCCTCCTTTAGTGCGGAGCTATGTTATGGCCCTCCCACTGCCACCACTCTTCAAGCCAAAGCTGTTGCTGAGCCCCGTTGTAATGCAGGTGGCGCGCTTTCTTGGCGTTGGCGCGCGGACGATTGAGACGCGAGTGAAGGCAAAGTGCTGGCACAGCAGACGTCAAATTAATCGCGACCAGTAGCAACAAATTGATCTTGATTGAATCTAGACTTTAAAGAAAAATGGGACCGGAGTTCAAGACTTCCAAGACTAATCCAATCAAAGCTGAGTGGGTAACTGCGGCTAAGCATGCAATGCACGATGCTCTGTGATGTGCCTTGTGACACCGGAGTCGTGAACAAGAAGCTACTAGGAACAAAGGGCATCGCTACGAACAGAGCAAGGACGCTACTAGTAACTAGCTCCTGGCCTTACTAGGAACAAGAAGCTACTAGTAGCATTTCTTTATGATTCTTTATGAGCCTATGCCAGGAGATTAAGGAGCTGCTCTTGTCCGCTATGCAACACTTGCCATGGGGCCACATGATTGACATCAGCAACATCCATGTGCCACTCGGAGCGGCAAACATCCATGTGAAGCTAGTCAGGGCCACTCAGTGCCACTCTAGCTTCCAACTTTCTTTATGAGTGCGCCTTGCAATCCAAGCATGTGTTTTAGGTACTTGCCATTTGCACTAGAGCATTGGGACGTCCTCTTGCCAGTCGCGCCCGTGTTGCGGAAGCAGCAGATCGAGAAACAGCAGCGACGACAGAAGGACTGCACTGTGATACACGACCGAATGAATGACAATGGCGTGGTCTTTCTAAAAATGTCCAGGACAGGCTGTACGTTACTGTACCATACTGTACCCCATGGCTTTGCAGGTCTCAAATTCTCGGGCGGTTCACTAACTAGATCTGCCAGAAAGTGCGCAATGAGCCGCTAGACTAGACATGTCAAAGCGTCTGGCTCAAATGCAGGGACATGTGAAAAGTGTTTGAAAGAACTCCAGCGTATTGGCCTCTGCCACAAGCGATAGACTACAGCACTCTGATTCGACCTGAAAGGCGCTGGAGCTCTTTGGACCTGGCTCACTCGGCCGGGATGGGAGCTTGAAGATTTCTTCAGTAAATGAGTTCATATACAATGACTTCAACTACACTGTAAGGTTTCTTCCCGAGGTATTCGGATGGCCTCGGATCATAGGGGTGTATATGTGTCCAGCTTCGATATGAATGCCTGAAAGTCTTGATCCGCCTCAGACTCAACTTCACCAATCTTGCCTTGTTTACCTCGCTTTGGGTGTCACACGCCGCTGGTCGTCACCGGATGCCAGGCCCGCCCAGCTCCGATCAGCTACGTGACCAGAGCGAGACAAAACAATGATGACAGTAACCTATGGGCCTAAGGTGAATGTATAGACTGTATAGATACTGTAGATAGATGGATAGATAGATATATATATATATACATATAACTATATATATATACAAAGATGGATAGATAGACAGACAGACATAGACAGACAGATAATAGATATACAGCATTAATGAATAATCAATACTGTATAAGATGATGTGAAATTGTATTTTCCTATATGCATGCACATACAGTAAGTTTATATATGGGACTCCAGTGCTTGACTATATACTTGGAAAAAGCAAGAAATGAGGGCTCGATAGGTGTTGCTTTAGAATGACAGGAGGATTACTGGCAAATGTACAGAACTTTCAGAGCTTCCTATGAGGCTTACCCAGATGGCGAAAGCCGATGCAGACCCCAGCGCCTGGAACCTCGGGGCTCACTGACTCACAGGAAATTATGTTCAATCTTGGTTTGTCATAAAACCCCGCATGCATCCTAAGTTGTCCATTGCAGTCTGATGAGTTCTGTTTGTTTGACCTAAGCCTTCCTATCAATGAGGGCTTCCGCCTCTGAGGTCCGTTTGGCAGCACTGGATGCCCTCAAAGCGATCGCTGGGGAAGGCTTGGACAGCTCTGAATCTCAGGTAGGAGCAGGTTCGGAACCTGGAGTGCTGCAAGGTTGTCAAGTGGTCGAACTTCGAGAGTCAATCCTGTTTAACTTGACCAATTCCGAATGGATTTGAGCTGTGCAGGAAGCTGGCAGCTCAAAGAAGCCGTCGGACACGTAGTGGTTGGGGAACAACTGGGTCAAAGAGGTCGACTATTCCCACGCAATGCATAGGATCTGCATGGATCTGGGGCCTGGACCTGGAATGTTTCAAGATGTTTGAAGCCTGTTTTGAGGCCCTGCATTTGGTGCTGGATGAGGATGATGTGCCTTGCTAGCACCATCCAACTCCATCCAACTCCTAGAACGGGATTCGTGATTCGTGTACATCTCGACTCGTGCCCAACCACCCATGCGACCAAAGACAATGCCTAGCCACGCCACGCTTGAGGACAAGACATACAGTTCTAGATAGGCCATCGCTCTTAAGTCTGGAGGCCACTGCTTGTATTGTAGTGGAGGTCATCGCTATTAGGCTATTAGGGAGGAGGCCATCACTCTTAGGTTGGACTCTGGCCGACTGAAGGTTGTGAGAGATGCAGCTGCAGAGATCTTAGAGCACCTGGACCTGACTGAGGCTGCTTCACTTGACCCTTCTGCCGGACAATTGCTGTGTGTCCCATATCATGGAAGGAGCCAGCAGACTTGCAGACTGGCGAACCAGATGATGCTCCAAGAGAGGGTGAGCAAGGCCGGGTATTCGAAGCCAAGACTGGAGGTATTTCTGGAATGACTCCTGAGTACTTGGTGCAACGCTGTCGGCCACGCAGGTGATCTTCCTGGATGCTTGACACTGTCAATAGCAGAAGATGATGCAACAGCTCCTGTCTCCACAGAGCCACACCGGGGCCATGTCCCCAGAAACCACCGCCAGTTGTCGTGGGTCGTTTTGTTTGTCCTTTGGAGGAGGCCTATAGACGGCCACAGTCTATTTATATATAGATTTCAGCTGCGAAGAAGAAGGAGTTATATAGTTGAGAAGCTGAGAAACCACCAAATCAATCATACGTAATTTATACCAATCATTGACACCTGAAACCAAGGACCAGAAGAGCCGCAGGCCTTCGCTGAGGCAGGCTGAGAGCTGGAGCTGGAAGATGCACTTCTGAGCCATTTTGTGTTGACAAGATTTTGTTGTCCAACTGCCGAGAGCACAATTGTGAATTTAGGTATCCTTTATCAAGTCTCCACCGAAGACAACATGTGCACGCCACCCCTGCTCCCCCCATCTCTCTGGATTGGCACCGATTCAGAAACATCTCTGAAAAGAAAGCAAGCCCAATTGATCGAGCATAACGTCATGGAAACCTTATCGACAAAAGCTGTGCAACGCTTTCGACACATTCCATCACATTCCAGAGAAACTCTTCAAAGCGGAAAAACCTGCTTCAAGGCCCATGTCTTGGATGTGGAGCAGACGCTGTCGGAGTTGGCGCAACACTTCCAGAGTGTTCAATGCTTGAATGAAAGCCAATGCTTGCAGAACCTTAGCTTCAAAGAAGACTTGGTGTACAAATCCAGAAAAAACTGTCTAGTGGATTGAATGTAGTGCTGTGTTGGCATAATATGGCATTGAATGTTTCTTTGAACTTCAACGTACGATATTGTGCATGCCTTGGAAAACGTTGGTGCCGACATACGACCTAAAGGCAGTTGGTAGAATCTTGTTTAGATAGTTCTTTGACCGTCTCAGGATGGACCAACTCCTGAAGGTGCCTTGCGGGAGTGGGAAGATTGCTATAATGAGCCGTCGCGGGTGGCATCTGGCTTGTCGGGCCTGTGCTGTTGTTTTTCCTCGTTGCATTCTGTGAAGATGTCAGTCACAGTAAAGTAAATGTTTGCTGCCTTTTCACCCTGGCCTCAGCGGAAAAACCCGTAGAAAGCTCTCAAGGAGCCTCAGCACGAGCCCGTGAAGACAGCGCCATGACTACCCTGCCAGGACGTATCAACGTCACGGTGTGCACACCGTCAGGCCAAAGCTGCATCATTGCAGCCCTTGCATCTGGATGCGTGGACCAGCTTCATGGTGCCATTGAGCGGATGCTGATGATCCCCATGCCAGTTCAGCGATTGATCATGACCTGCGACTCAGGCGCAAAAGAGATCCACAGCAACGAGCTTCTATCCACGCTTGGATTGCAACCTGGAAACCAGATCACAGTACTGAACAGTTGGCCCACCCAACCAGCTGAAATTGTGGAGAAGCTAAAGTTGGCAGCCTCCTATCCATCTCGAAACACTGCAGCAGCAATAGCACGCTGCTTAACAAACGAGGACAGCTCCGTGAAAGTGAGCGCCCTTCGTGCGCTCTCTTGGATGACGCGCCATGCCAGTGCCCACGCGAGTGACGTTGCAAAGCTCTTGCGCGAGGATGCAGAGGAGGCCGTGGCGATGGGTGTTCGTGTCATGGACCCGAGACGTTTACCAAGAATCCAAGTGAGAAATGCCGCAGCACATACACTGTCCTGGTTAGAGGAGGCAGGAGCAACGTATGCTGCTGATGTTCTATTATTTGGATGGAATGGGTGGAAGTTTAGTGCCTCCGATGCTTTTGAAGAGATGTGCCAGTCAGAGGCTGCCAAGACGCGGACTGCAGCAATTCACTCAATTGTCAAGATGCTCGAAAACGATTGTGGACCTTTGCCGGTGCCTGCCTTCCACAAGCTATGCTGTTGCCAGATCAGTCGTCGAAACCTTGTTCGAGCTCTTTTTGATGAGGACGTTCACAACGTGTCTGCTGCTTATTTGACAAAGTGTGTGCCAGCTTTTGAGGAAAGTGATTGTGGAGACGGTGTCCAGAGCCGCCTGAACAGTCTCCACATCATACCGAAGGACCTCCTAGAGCTCTATATTCACCTTGGAGAGGAGAGGTATTCCGCCACGGCGGCTGGGAATCAGCATGAACTTGAACTCCTCCGTTTTTGTGAAGACCTGGCACGGAAGCTCGATGGTTACTGGCCTAGATGGCATGGGTGGCAAGAGATCCATGGCAGCAGGAAAAGAAGGCTTTCCATGGTGTCGTCCAATGTCTCCTTGTGTTCCAAAGACTGTCCGACTGTCCCACACCCCAGTCAAGACATTCCTCCACCCAAGGAGCATTGACGAGCATCCGAGCTCCGTGGAAGAGGCTGTTTGCGCAGTGGCTGTGAGCACGGTCCGCTACTTGCGCCGCCGCTTCCAGGAGTGGGAGGCCACCCTTGGGGCAGAGGAGGTTGCAGACCGCGTTTTTTTGGAAGGACAGGAGCAGAATGCAATGCAGTACAGTATATTATTTTGGAATTGTCCAATGATTCGTTCGTAATCATGGGTATGTCTATGTCTCGAAAGTCTGGGAGTAAGTAGATGTCAGTCATTTGCTTTCTGTGAAGCTACCTGTGCGGCAGGATAGGTGAGGAGTCATGGACTGGGTTGATCATGATTGTGATAAGCATAGCGACTCAACCCAATTCTGGCAACATCATGTTTCTTGACTCTTCTTGCACTCCGACTGTAGGACGAGAGCTACTGGATTCGATGGTCGAGTTGGGTTTGCTGAGCTCCCACTGGGAGGTCCGAAAAGCCGTGGTTGAGGCACTGATGGTCCTCACATTTGGGCGTCATGCGGTCCTGGCAGTTGCCAGGGCCAAAGAATCTGAGAAGAGAAAGGAAGTCCTGGAAGTGATGGCGACCTTCTTCGAAAAACATGACTTGGAGGAGGCACTGAATGACGACTTTCAGAGGCATTTCCAGTTCATGTATGACGATTGGCTGTCCGACCTCGAGGACAGCGACAAAATAGAGGACATGGAGTCAGATGAGGAGTGGCAGATGCGCGACAAGCATGGAGGCTACCTCAAGTCACACGTGAGCCGCAGCGGCCGGCATCACAAACAACATGGTGCGAACTCATCCAAAGCTCCTCCTGCCGCCATAGCTCGGCAAAAGAAATGGGATCGGCGTGCAAGACAAGAAGAGCAGCCAAAGTTCTCAGAATCCAAGCGCAACCTCCAAAAGTTCCGACGTGACAAGGAGCAGGTGGGCCCGGAGCTCCAATCACCAATCCTGCAATTGTTCCACATATATATTTCCATTATGCTCGTACATTCGCATAATGCTAGTAACAAGTGCCTTACTAGTAGTAACAAGGACGCTATTAGAAACAGGTGCCTTACTAGTAGTAACAATAAGAAGGGCACTTGTTACTAGTAGCGTGGCACTTGTTTCTAATAGCGTCCTTGTTACTACTAGTAAGGCACTTGTTACTAGTAGCGTGGCACTATTATGCTCGTACATTCGCATAATGGGCATGCTGTAGCAACTTGCTCACCTGTTCTTTGTCCCTTATTTCTAGTGTGTTCCTTTTGTGCTTTCTCGGTTGCTTTGGGCGTCGGGGCACCGCTGTTGCTCACCGCAGAATGTGAAGTGTTGAGGTTGATTCGGATCTAGTGAGACTATGTGTAGCTTCTTGTTCCTAGTAGCAATGCCCTTTGTTACTAGTAACTAGCTTTCTTGTCACTGTGTGTCGCAGCGTGGGCGCCCCTGAAGGATCGACGCTACAAAATGGCCTTGGGACAAGAGCTGCTGTGCCTCTCCCTGAAGTTTGCCTAGCCATGCCTAGCCTGCCTTTTGAGTTGCAATTTGTCTCACGGCCCAATCATCCCCTCAGCTTGGGAGCGTTGTACAGATGTGCAGTTGCTGGCGAGAAAGAAAGCTGGCGGCAGCTGGCTGCTTTTTGGCTTTCACTCAGATCCCTTCAACTCATGAAAAGCCAGGGAAGTTCACTTCATACAGCTCAATGCAGGGAACTATTCACTTCGTGTCACTTGACGTGTCACTTCTTATACCGTCGTCCCAGTGTCCAACTTTGCTATTTGTTGGCCACTGCTGCACGCTGAGCCAAAGATGGATGACAAGGGGCGGGTGGCGGGTTGGCTGTTTCCCCACGGGCAGCACAAAGGGTTGAACATGTTGAACACGGATTTGTGGATTCAACTGTCCGATCGGCAGGATGAAAAGGCTATGCAGTGGCTTCACGAGAAGTTCCAGCAATTTCAGCTGATTGAAGGCAATTTTGGGTGCCTCACCAGAAGAATGCCAGAAGAGCACAGTGTGCCAAGCCGACCCAAAACCACCCTCGTTCTTGCTGTCTAGGGCCGATGGACACGAAAGAGGATTGTATGTAGAACATGTGAAAACAGTGCGACAACACGCGGGAGAGAGGGCTGATATTTGGCATGGCTCAGCTTCTGACAGGAGAGGGCATCGAAGTCACTCCAGGCGAGCGCAGCCGACGCCCCTTTGAGTGAGGTGACAAGAATCAACATGGGAGGATGGACCCCCAAAACAGTTTTCTAAAATTGTTTTTTACATGTTTTTACATGTACTGCATTGTAAATAAATACTATCAATGCCTATTGGGCGAGATCAGGGGCCCCAGCATCCTGCGCTCCAAACCTTGCTGTATCTTGCTTTAAAGCTATAGTAGCAGGGTAGGAATCAGCCCACTGCTGGTGACATGTCATAGCGATAGCCAGGCCCTCGATACCCCATGGGCGCCTACCTGGATGATTTGCGGGTCTTGGAAGTAATCGAAGACTCCGTCGCAGCGAAGGTGCGCGGGCCTACATGGGTCGCTTCAATCGTTTTGAGTCGTTTGGGGCAACAAGTCCAGCTGTCACGGGCTTGGTGCGCGCCTATGTTGGCCGCTGTTGGCAAGATTTGCTTCAAGATCAAGTTGGATCTGGCCTTGCTGAATAAGATGCAAATGTTAAACACATGGCGCACACACACATATATATATATATGATATAGTATAGTAATTGATGTATACATAGAATATGCAGTTCATCGGCGTAGGCCGGAGGGTTCAAAAAATATATTGTCAGACTGTCAGATCATTATCCAGGAATCGATTGGTTGTAGGTAGGTTATTTGATACTCTTTGGTGCGTGTGTGTGTAAGGCCCAACGCAAAGGCGCGCACAATGTGAACATGTTTTCGCATTCCTTCCAGATCCCTGCGATTCATTTTGCAGTCAGTCGGACTACAGTAATGCACACCACGGGCCCAGGCTGGGGTTCTGCCGGGAGACATCATCCAACAGGTGGACGATGTGGAGATCACAACGCAAGAGGAGTCGGCTCTGTGACTGGATGGGACTTTCCATCGGAAGGGCCACCGCACATTAATTACCCTGATGAACGGTTGTTTGGGTTCGTTGGGTTGGCACTCTCGAGGAAGCTATGGTCCGCAAGATGGTGATCAGAGAGTCATGCAAGAGAAATTGCATGAAATTGCTAGATATTACAATCGTAGCTGATGGACAAATGGGTCGTGGTTGTGATCATACAGGCTGCACAGGCAAGTGGCTCATGCTGAAGGCAACAATATAGGGGTACAAGGGTACAACTGGGCACAACCTCCAACCACGCAAGAGTCATGGACCGACTTGGATGAGTGTCGTCAGATGTGGAAGCACAGGCATGCCTCGCATGCCTCCCGTCAACCTTTAGATATCCAAAAAGAGGTCTTTTTTAAGCTACTAGGAACAAGTGCATCGCTTCTAGTAACAAGTGCCTTACTAGTAGTAACAAGAAGCTACTAGGAACAAGTGCCTTACTACTAGTAACAATAAGACTACTTTCTATTCAGGCGTCCCCAAGAACATTCACCTATGCCTATGATCGCGGATGCACTTGAGTCTGCGCATTGCAGGAGCTACGCCAGCAGATGGATGTGCCTGGGCGCAAGCGCTTCTTGGTGGAACGTGCTGGAGAGGAGGCTTGACCAGGTGATTCTACTTTCAATTTGTTCTGGTTCGTGTATGGAAACTACTAGTAGCTCCTGGCATTGCTACTGGGAACAAGAAGCTACTAGTAACAAGGGCATCAGACTCTTTTCGATTTTCTTTTTGGAATCTCATGGAGCGAGCTGAGACCAGCTGAGCATGTTTGAGCATATCCATGCAGATCGATGCAGACTTGCTTTGACCTACTGGCTTTCAAAGTTTCACTTGGCAATGCACATGACTGGTGCCTTTCATGAATTTCATGTTGAATGTGCGATGCAAGTCGAGCAATGGCAGGTGGAGCTTAGCTTGGACTTTTGTGATGTCCCAGATGAACAAAGGGTGCGAAGCGAAGAGCCAGACGGAGCAAAAACTCCAAGAAGTTGCCTTTTCAAAGAACCCTTGGCAATCTTCAATCATGTTCTTGTGACATGAACCACACCTCGGTTTCAGTGAGGGTAACTGACTAACTGGAAATTTGTTTGGGTACCATTTCTGGCTCCAACTCATTTCACAGAAGACGCCAACACACTGTCAACAACCCATTCATCTCAAATAAGGCTCTTTGTCACCACCACTCGTCCTTTGGGCCCTTTTCTGCTTTAAACTCTTGAGCTGGACACGGCATCAAGTCCCGGTCCAGCTGCGCCATGGTCAAACGTGGACTTCCAAAGTGGTGTCCAGGTGCCCGCGATGGTCGAATTTTTGAAGGTCTTCAGATGTGGGCCGGATGATGCTGGATATGATATGGGAATTGGTTTGAACTGGGCCAAGTGGGTTGTGGGTGGATGTGGGTTCATGTGGGTTGTGTTCAATTTTCCAGCCTTGTAGCTTTTTTGGAGAGGTTTAGTGCGTGGTAAACACCCATTTCCTGCCACAGGCTGTGATTGGGTGATTCTTGCCCTTACAGCGACGCCTGAACCTTGGAAGCTGACCCTGTTTGGGAGGTTCAGGCGTCCTTTTGTTCGTTTTGTGCGAAGCGGATATCAATCGGAGTACTTAAGGTCATGCCCTCAAACACGAGCCCAGAGAAGGAAAGGTTACGCATGCAGAACAGGTGGACGATACATGAGGTCTCCATTTTATGGCCCACTTGTTGCACTGAGGTTTGGTTTCACTTTTGTCGGTGAGCAGGATGGGCCGGTGGCTTCGGGGACTTTCTGGCTTTGCTGAAGCTTGTTGGACGACGCAGATGGCGATACCTCGCTCAATTGACTAATGACTAATATAAATATACTATTTTATATTATTCTATACGTATACATTAATTATAGTGCACGACTATAGTAGATGTGATGTGAACCATTTGTACATCCCCTGTGCCCTGCGCTACTGCTCCCCATCCATCCTCCCTGCTGCCACGAAATATGTTCAGGTGGGTCGGACCTGGCGTACGGTGTCACGAGCTGCGGACCTTGGACACTTGGCCGGAAGAAGAAGTGTTGGAACCTGGTTCTTGGCCGTGTTAGGCCGACTTTTCAACATCTTCCGATGATGATCGTCATTGCTCGAAAGGAACCGGAGTCCGGAGGGAGTAGATGTTAGAGAGAAATGATGGCAACATGCCGCTTGGACTTGCTTGGACTGGTGTGCGGAGGTTGCTGAACTTGAAAAGGGGATGCGTTCCGACAAAAGATCCAAGTACAAGCTCCCAAGTGCTACTATAGTTCTGTCAAACAACGGGAGAGATGCTTCAAACCACGGGATATTCAATATTCAGATGACCTTGGACCTAGCCCCAACTGGCCGATGCGAAGAGGATATCATCCTGCGAAATTGTGTCTACTTGATGGGCAGGAGATTGGCTACTCCGAAGTGAACTGGTTGTGAACCAGTGCCAGCCTTTCTCTTCGTCTCTCCCCTCTCTCTTACTTGTATAAATTAAACTGCTTGCTTGCTTACTTATTTACCTACCTACTTACTTACTCACTTACTTACTTAGACTTATAGACTTACTTACATATACTTACTTACATATACTTACTTACTTATACTTACTTGCTTTTACTTACTTACCTATACTTACTTACTTACTTACTTACTCACTCACTCACTCACTTACTTTAATTTGTTTTTCTTTATTTTTCTTGAGTTTCTCAATCTCTCAATGTTTCTAGTATTTGCGGCTTTTTCAAGGATCTACCTACATCCAGCCCACTGATGTAGAGCCTGCCACTGCCTGGGCACGGATCGCGGAGGTGCAGCAGAAGCTGAAAGGTTTCTGGGCTTGAGAGATGGTGGAAGCTTAGGCTGCGTGGCATAGGGGCACTCATGGCACGGAAACAGGTTCTGGGCGGCAGACTGGAAGTTTGGTAGCAACTGTGGATGAATGACACTGGTTGCACCGACAGTTGAAGTGGAGCCAGACCAACATTGTCCAAACAAAGGGTGAACGCATGTGAACGCACTCAGCATCATGAGTGTACCCAGCACTCTCACACGATCAAGCACGATCATGCCCAGTGAACAGGGTGCCTGCCAGCGTGCCAGCGGTTACGTACTAGCCTATGTACCGTATGGTCATTTGCGGACATGCTTTGCCAATTTCACTCAACAGGATTACTCCACGATATCGGTTGCACCCCTGCCATGGCTGCTGCAACGGTTGGGAGGGATCCTTCGGACTGGCATGGCGAGATGGGGTCGGGGCCCGAGTTGCTTAGACTTTCGAGGGCGAACCTTGTTTGGATTCATGGTGCACCATGGCGCACCCAATGGAACGTTCGGGCTTACGACCACCGAGGCTGAACGATGGCGCGGAGAACGTCAAGCTGCCGGAAGGCGGGCGATGGCGACTTGCGGCTCTTGGCATCGTTTTGTGCCTTGTCCACCTCATGGCCACAAGCTACTAGGGGCTCCTGACCTTACTACTAGGAGCAAGGACGCTACTAGGGGCTCATGGCATCGCTACTAGGAGCATTCTTACTACCTTACTTCTAGTAACTAACAAAGGGCAATGAGAGCGACGCCAGTGCCAAGGAACTTGGTCTTCGTCCGGTGAATCGGCCCCCCCTACCATCGCATGCGACTCACGGTGTTCTTTGGCTTTGGCTTTCCTGTTTTCTTCGGCAGTGTTATGGTGGGACTTCCTTGCAATTGCAGCCGCTCCTGTTGATGGCTATGATTTGGCTCACAATTCAGAGCGTCCTTCTAGCCATCTGGTGTTAACCCACATCTCTTCAACATGTGTTTGCGATCCTGATTGCCAATACGTTTAACTCAGCTGTGCCTTTGCAGACCTGTGGCTGCAGCTGGGCCTTGCATTGATTGTGGCCATTTTAGATTTGGCCTGGCGCCTGCGCAACCTTGCTTGGGTCAAGGACTTTTGCCAAGGAGCCTACGGTCACCTGGCCGACCCAGTCAACAAACTGCGAGTGAAGGTCTACACCCTGATTTTTGCAAGTTTTTCCTTTGGCCTCATAATGCCCATCTTTGCGCCCTGGGAGCACGCGGAGAAGTGGGTGAGGTGGCACCCTTATAACGTTGATGCAGAGCTCCTTTGGCGCGGAACCTTTGCCACCTTCGCCTTGGCGTTCTTCCTGACTGCCGCGAATCGCAAGGTGGGGGTACTTTCGAAGAGACGCCGCCCTCTTCAGTCGACGGTCGACGGGTAGGAGCCAGATCCTCTATTTATGCACGGGGGGGTTGTGCAAGCAACGCAGAAGCAGAAATCCTGACCCAGGTGAACAGCTCCATCGTAGCCTTCTTTGCAGCTCATGGTGTTTGCCACAGTTTGTCCATGTTCATCGACAATCGTGTTTTTCCAGCTGACGGCAACGACAATGTGGAGCACATACTGGAGATTTGGTTTGTTCCACTTCTTTGTGGGACGAGTTGTTTGGTATTTGCATGAAGGCCAAGCTGAGTAGGCTGTCCGCTGTCAGCGGAAGAACTACAAGTTTTCCGTAACCATCAGTGACACACCCTGAGAGAATTGGGTTCAACCTCACCTCTCGTACTTCCAGCGGCTGCACAGACCTAGCATCCCTTGTGGCAAAATGTCATCTGGAACAAATTCGGCACTGGGGCCTAACCCTTTCTCTTGAAAGGGGCCAGTAAGGGATCAAAACATACCATTTCGAGCAGACCTCAGAAGTGTATTCCCGGACTGAGTCCTTTGCCCTGGCCAAGCTGGAGTCTGTAAAAAGGATGTGCAAGTGATGGTTCATTAAGGGCATCCCTCAATACGGCATGGAAACTGCATTCTGCCTTTAGCATCCTTTAGCCTGCATCCCTTCTCGACATGCAGCAAAGGCATTTGCCGAGGGCTGTTTTCCAAACACCTTTTCAACATCCAGATGCAACCCGCCTTCTTAACATCCAGACGCAACCCTCTGACCTACACCGTCTATACTATGCCGTTTTAATCGAACTTCCTGCTAGCAACAGCACATGAAATGTCTATAAATATTTGCTATTTCTTCGCTTAGACCAGGCCCTGATCGCAACTTTTTGCCTTGAACTCTTGAACACTGTGACTCTGGAACCAGGCTTTGGTCGCAACATGTCGCAACTATTCCCTGGAACTCTTGGAACTAGTTCGGTCGTACCTTTCTGCCTGGAACTGGACTGGGGTCGGACCCTGATCGCACTTGCCCGCTGACCCCATCACCTTCGGGATCCGTTGTAAGAGATGGAGCGGACACGTAAGTACCCCCATGAGCCTTCCTTTCCAATGTACTTTTGGGGGGTCTATGCTGGTGCAAGTGACGTCGAAGGGCAGGTCTTGTGTTGGTTGGATGTGATGCACTTGCAAGAGAAGACCGCCTGAGGCTATGCTGACTTGCCGCTATTTGACTGCAAGTGGTTCGATGCTGGAAGTCAGAAGTCGGTGTATTGAAAGACAGTGTTGCTGCCGTGGGATGTTGGGTCGTGTTAGGCCAAGGAGTCAAGGGCTTGCTCTGGCAAATCATCATGAAACATACAGAAAGCAGACAGAATCATAAAGAGATTCCATGATATTCCATGGAATTTCCATGGAAATTCCTTTGGATCGGAG